TTTCTAGTGGGTGCCTTGAGGCCGTGGCTTTGAGGAGGTCGTGGGCTGTGGAGTGTGGTGGAGCCCACAGACAAGCCTTAGAGCCCTTTCTTGTCCCAGTGCCACACATGTGCAATTTATATATTTGGGAATAAGCATTTGATTTCAATGGAACAAAAGGTTTGCTGTTAAAAAAAAAAGTTGAAAACCATTGTCTTTGATTACCACAGAGTTGTTATATGGTTTTAACACTTAATAGCTAAACTAGGGGTTGCAAACTCAAATGTTTACAGGTAACTTAGATAAGTGAGACAGTGAAGAGAGCCAGGTGGGTTCTGGGAGAACTCAAGGTGATGTGCTGAAGCCACTTTTATTACCATAAAAAAACATAATCCTGGTATGGCCAGATCTGACTTTTTGACAGAAGCTGGAGGTAGGACGACAAACATGTGCCACGATGTCTAGTTAATTAAAAAGAAATTGAGGGGGCTGGGTGTGGTGGCTCATGCCTATAATCCTAGCACTCTGGGAGGCCAAGGTGGGAGGCTCCCTTGAGCTCAGGAGTTTGAAACCAGCCTGAGCAAGAGCCAGACCCCGTCTCACTAAAAATAGAAAAATTAGCCAGGTGTGGTGGTATGTGCCTGTAGTCCCAGCTACTTGGGAGGCTGAGGCAGTAGAATCACTTGAGTCCAGGAGTTTGAGGTTGCTGTGAGCTAGGCTGATGCTATGGCACTCTGGCCAAGGTGACAGAGCGAGACTCTGTCTCAAAAATAAAAAAAAGACATTTTTTTTGTAGAGATAGAGGTCTCACTGTGTTGCTCAGGCTGGTCTTGAACTCCTGGCCTCAAATGATCCTCCCACCTTGGCCTCCCAAAGTGCTGGGATTACAGGCATGAGCAACCACACCTGGCAAGACACTCGTTAGATGAATAGTTGGCAACCTCTGGCTTAAACCCATTCTTTCTGTAGGTGAATCCTAAATAGTATGACTATGTAATCTATCATCTAAGCCAGGACACTGGAGAGAAAGCGAAAGGAGGCTGTATTGCTTATTACACTGGGACAACAGGTGAACATTAGACTCTCACAGGCAAACTGGTCTTCCTGGTCCTATGTGCCATCTTTGTGTAGGAAAAAACGAACAAGCAGCTTATATCTATGCACTGCCAAGTGCCAGGTCGTGCACATGTGCTTTGTCCGGGGCATCTCGTGTAATCTTCACAGCACCCTAGGAGGTGGATGCTGTCATTGCTCTTTTTTACTGATGAGGACACAGAGGCACAGAAAGGAATTTATCTAAAGCCAACACCGTGGTGGAGTTAGTTGGGTTCCAGAGCCTCAGCTCTTAACTGTACCATTCTCTGCCATGGGTGCAAGGAAGTGGTAAGAAAGCTGAACCTCCTTTTCAGAGGGATAGTTGAGACCCAGGATGGCATGGCTTTCGGCTCAGGCAGCTGCTCAGCACGGAGGGGGGACTGCACGGGAGCACCCGTGGCTCCTGCCACCTTGAGGCTGATATTTCACAGGGTCACTGCGTGTTACAAGGAGCTGTGGGTGTGGGAGTTAAATACTAGATTGGTGCCAAGTGCATTGCATCAGGTTGCTGCAGCCGGGTCTTACGTGCCACCTAAACCTGACACCTCCTTGGCTAGCCTGTCACCCCAAACCCACACACTAAAAGGACAGCTGAGGACACGGTCTGAGAGGGGGAACAGGACCCAAATAAAGGGTGGCTCACCCATAGCACCAGTTTTTCAGAGCTCCAGGTGTGGCTCTCTAAGCAAGTGTGAAGAAGAAAGATCTGCCCTCATGAAAATGTTGATGCTGGGCCTAAAAGAAGAGTTTGAAAAATGACATTTCAGCATAGGACACTCCTGGGAGTACTCCAGCAGCAATAGAGAAAATTTATTTTCATAAAAACAAAGGGCAACATGATGTTAAAAATACTCTTTGCAGTCAAGGACAGCAGAATGTTGATAATTATTGGAGCACAGTAACAGATACGTGGATGATCATGGTAATTTTCTCTTTTTAAAGAGTTCAAGATGTTCAAAGTGTTTTCAATGTTCCGAAACTAGTTTTAGAGAAATAAAGAGTATTCCAGCATAAAAGTGAGTGGGAAATGTTTTGAGTGTGCAGTGTCCTTGCCAAGCAGATGGAAGGACTGGGAGGGTCCAGCAATGAGGCCACCTGGCAGTGACAGAGACCCCAGCTCTGAAGGGGGCCTTGCCTTTCCATCCACCTCAGTAGTAGCATGCCTTAAAGGGTTGGCTCATAACATCCTGAGGGGAGAAACGCTCACTGTGTCATCAATAACAGAGTGATTTCTGGTTCTGACCAGTGTCATTGACCACTCTTGACCCAAAAGGAAGTGCTCACCTGGGAGGCAAGACTCAAATTTTGTCTTCACTCTACCTGGGTCTCCATCTGCAAAGCAGCAAGACAAATTTTTTCATCAGTCGAAGTTAAAGAACACCACAAGATTGTTGCCGATTCAAATGATATATAAATTATCACTTCCTATGGAAATCCTATGCCTTCTTCTGGGCTACAGCTGTTACATCTAAATGGTCCAGCTGAAGGTCAATCTAGGAAACTTGTTGAGAGTCCAAGGCCTTTCCATTCTACATTTCATTTTATTCATTTTTTTTTTTTTTTTTTGAGACATAGTCTTACTCTGTCGCCTAGGTAGAGTGCAGTGGTGTCATCATAGCTCACTGCAACCTCAAACTCCTGGGCTCAAGCGATCCTCCTGCCTCAGCCTCCAGAGTAGCTGGGACTACAGGTGCATGCCACCATGCCCAGCTAATTTTTCTATTTTTTGTAAAGACGGGCTCTCACTCTTGCTCAGGTTGGTCTCAAACTCCTGACCTCAAGAGATCCTCCCACCTCGGCCTCCCAGAGTGCTAGGATTACAGGCACGAGCTACTGCAACTGGCCTTCATTTTATTCTTGAAAAACAAAATGCTTCCAGTCACCTCATTAGTTATAGACTATTTCTGTGTGGCTAGCTTAAGCAAACAGGGAATTTATTAGATCCTGGGGCAGCTCACAGGACTGAAGGAACTGCACAGCAGCCATGACTGACTTGGTGACGTTTGTGTACCTTCTCCAGCCTCTGATCTCTTGATTTCACATTCTAGATTCTCGGGGAGAGAGAACCTGGTTGGCCCACTCAGGTGTGGTGTTGAAGGGGAAGGATTATGTAGGACTAACCTGGTCACTAGGGACCACCACTATGTATCAACCCCCACCCCAAGTAGAATCCTTTTTGCTCTGGGCAGCCAGCCCTATAGCCATAATATTGATTTATGCTGCATGGTTATCTGCCCCATAGCTGCTTAGCAACTGGTCGAAGGTCAAGAAACTCCTCTAGGACAGGCCTGAGGACTGTTTGATTTAGGACAGTCTGTCTGACTCTAATTGATACTTGAGTCCGACCAGAACCAACCTACCACTGAGCTCAGTCAAGAGGTTCAGTCATGGTTATTAAACCCAGGAGAGGAAGGAAAGAGGAAGGGGTCCTGGCCTAAGCATGAATTCCTGTCAAAGGGGGTCCTATCCATTAGGAGCCCCTAGGGCATTTTTGTCCCATGGGTTGTAAATCTTGAGTTTTACTTGGGGGTTTCAGATGAGCATAACCCCAACTCTTTGCCAAAGGGAATGTGTCCAGAAAGCATCTGTGTCTCTCCAATCCCAGAAAAGAATGGATGAGGAAGGCCATCCTGAGAAAGAGGTTCCCCAGGTTCTCAGACATGAGCTGCTGCCTGTGTAGCTTTCCTTTCACTGTCCAGCACCGGGCTGTGGGCTCCTCTTCCACCCTTGAATCAAGGAAAGCAGAATTTCAGCTCAGAAGATGAGAGATTAGGGAAGAGAAAAGGAATTGCTCAGTTCACTGGAAACATCAAGCCAGGGTCCAGGCCAAGGGGAGAAGGTTGAGTAGCCGGAGAAAACGCCAAATCCTCAGAGACGAGGTTGGGCCGGAGCTTGGAAAGTGAGGGACACTGGGCCTGTCCCGCCTTGTGGACGACGAGGCTGGGATACGATGCTTCTGGTGTATGTTTAATGTACATGTGTTGCTCTGGCACAAGGCAGGCTGAGGAAGGAAGCAGCTGGCTCCAACTAGGCTGTGGCACGTGGCGTTTGACATGAGCATCAGAATTTGCTCTGCTCCTGCAGGGCCTCTGTGCGAGGGTGTGCAGCGTGGCAGTGCACGGGTGGGAGCTGACTTCAGCCTACACTCCACTTACTCTTGAAGAGATGCTGGGTGGGCTATGGGCTCACAAGTGGCTCCTTTGGCTTCAACTTGGACCTGGTCCCTAGAGATGCAGGAACGTCCCTTTGCCTGGGCTGCTTGGTGGAAGATTCTGGAACTACCGAGCTCCTCAGTCCTGAGTGATGCCTCTACTGGCAGCAAGGCAGAATTTTCAAAAAATGTATCTTGAGCCTTTCTTTCTCTTTGTAGTCCTTTAAGATGAAAGAAATTAAATAAGGGGATACCCGTGAATGCCTTTGCAGGCAGGAGTGTCCTCAACAGCGGGTGAGGGGGTATTTGTCTCCAGCCAGTGAGATACTCAGGGTGGGGAGGAACAGTCTCGATCAATGACACGAGGCGGGCCTGCATGGGGGCAGCAGAATGGCCCTGCCTGTGACCCAGTGCTGAAAGGAAGGGGGCCTTGCGGAGGGGAGACTGAAGGCATGGTTGGGCGGGAATGCTCGTGAAGAACGACAGTGGTGCTGCTGCCCTCTCCGGACGCCCTACACCAGGGCGAAAGAGCCAGCCCCTCACTCCCTCAGCAGAGAGGACAGCAGCCACTGGCTCTTCACTGGCCCTGTAAACTCAGGGTCAGGGAGCTGAGAGTTGCCATGAAAATGTTTACCCTGACACCCTTGAGCTACTCGAGATGGACAGTTGAAGCCTGGCCTGTGTACAGTGTGCACAGTTGGCTCAAGTGGCCTTGAAGCCATATTCATAGTAGGGACGTGGCACCTACATCTCCCCTTCCTCTCTGGCCAAGCAGATGCAGGATTTGGAGCAGAGGCTGCTGGAGGCTGAGCAGAGAGCAGAGAACGCTGAGACCCAGGTAACTGGGGGAGGGGATTGGCAGGAGTGTGCTGGGGAAATGACCATTGGCCTTTCCTGGCCCTTCCGGGGACACGTGAATGAAGGAGTCTTTGGGAGTAAGGGTCAGTGTAGTGAGTGGGTGTATTAGTGCAAATAGGCTAGGCTGTGGAAACACATTAAGTCTGAAATCTCGGTGGTTAATCACATTGAGTTCTCACTCGTGGTACCTATCCCCTGACGGTTAGCAGCAATTCTGGTTCAGCAGTCATTCAGGGGTCCAGGCTAAGGGAGGCTCCCCTATGTGGAACCCACGGTCTATTGGTTGCTGTGGCAGGGAAAGAGAGCTAGATGCTTGCGCACCAGCTTTTAAATACTTCCGCCCAGAAATGATGTGCCGTTCCCACCCAGAGCCCATTGATTGGATCAGTTACATAGCCCCATCTAACTACAGGAGGGTTGGGAGCCGGGGAAGCACGTGGAAATCCAGCCAGCAGTGCATACCTCTGCTGCAGCGGGGCTGGGGCATTTGCTCTCCTAGGCCATTTGTCCTGCCCAGCTTGTCCCTACTGGGGCCCCCACAGGTAGATTGCTCAAGACCTAGCTGGCTTTTCAGAGTAACCAAAATGAGTTTCTTCCTAGTTAGTTCCTCTTTTTGCCCAGATAAGGGCTTTATAAATGGTCATTTAATTAATTGGTCCAGACTGCCCTAGGGAAGGGCTCTGCCTGGCAGTCACAGGCTGGGGCTTCGGGAGGTGTCCCATCCCACATTATTGGCCATGGCACACCACATGAGTGGTGTGAGATGCGATGAGATCATTGGTACTTTTCAGGTGGGTGTCATGGAAGAGAAGGTAAAACTGTCCAGTCTGCAGACTGTGGACTCAGTGGGCAGCCTGCATCGGAAATACCAAGCGCTGCTGAAAGCCGTGCAGGGCAAAGACGAGCTCATCAGCCAGCTGGAGGCACAGCTGGAGGAGCAGGTAAAGGCTAACATGCACCTGAGCACCTCCCCCTCCAACATCTGCACTGCTTGGTCCCAGCTTCTTGAACTCCCTCCCTCATGAGCCTGTTCTTTCATGTGGAGATGTAATTACAGGAAGATCTGTTCCTCTCACCTCTGCCCATCAGAGGCCAGGCAGAGGATATGGTAGGTAAAGGACCTTGGAGGCAGACCAACCTGGCCGTGAATCCCACCAGTAGCACCTGCTGCTTCTGACTATGGGCAAAGTGCTAAAGTCGCTGATTCTCATTTTACATATTTATAAAGGAAGAGTTACAATACCTCATAGGACTGTTGGGAGAATTAACTTAGATGCCCTGTGTATAGTGTCAGACACAGGTTGGTGCTTGGTAAGGAGAGCTTTTCCTTCTCTGTCCTGGCCTTATCGCGCCCTGCCAACACGTGGTACGTGATACTTGGCTGTAATATGACCAGAGCTGCACAGAGCTGGACAGTCAGCCTTGGTCAGCTGGTTGGCCAGAGTTTCGCAATGAACCTGAAGAGGTGGAGACCAACGTTGCCGCCTCCTCCAGCAATCGGGGCCTCCCCTCCTGAACATGTGGGAGCCCAGGAGAGGCCACTGCCCAACATCTCAGCTACAGTTAGCATCATTGCTCCAGAGAGGACTTCTGGAACACCCGCTGGCCTGTTCCTCCCCTTCACAATCTCATTAACTCCATCCCAATTCTGTCCCTTCCCTCTGCCATTGGCCGTACCTACCCCGCTCTTCCCTGGTGCCAGAGCTCGATCATTTCCAACTAAAGACCCCACGGTACTGTCAGATGACTTTTAATTTCCTGCATGTACCTTCTCCTTGAAGGTTCCAGCTAATCCTGGGAGTACCTTCCAACCATCATGGACAAATTCATAGTCATTCATTAGCATTCACTAAACGTTCCCTTAGTGCATATGTCCTTGTATACCTCGGGGCACCTTGTGTTCCTGAAAAATCATGGGAAAGTAGAATTTTGACACACGGACTCTCCAGTCAATTTTTCCATTGAGTTTTAGAGATACGTTATTTTTAGTTTTGAGTGATTCAGTTAGAGGTGGCAGCATCCTGGGGATTGGTGGGCAAAATGACTCCCCCTGAAGCTCCTTAGTTCAGAAAAAAATCATTTTACAATTATAACAATAGGTCAAGATCATAATAGAAAGAATGCTGTTTCATGAGTCAAGAGATCTGGTTGTAGTTCCAGCAGGGCCATGAACTGACAGAGACAAGTCACTTCTCCCTTGTGGGCCTCAGTTTCCACAGCTGTACAAAGAGGATATCAAGCTAGATCAGAGGTCAGCCAACTTCTACCATAAGGCCAGATTGCAAATATTTCAGGCTTTGTGGGCCACATGGTCTCTGTCGTAACCGCTCCGCTCTGCTGTTGTCAGCTCTGCTGTTGTAGCTTGGAAGCAGCCATAGGTAATACCTCAGTGAATGGGCATGGCTGTATGACAGTGCAACTTTATTTACAAAAACAGGTGTGGAAGTGGCAGCAGACAGGTAGGGGGCTGGATTTGGCCCGAGGGCCATAGTTTGCCAAACCCTGAACTCTAAGACCTTTAAGGTCCTTTCAGCTCTGAAATACTGGGAATCTGATGTTTGCACACGCCCATCTCATTTCCACAGACTCCCTTGTTTGGAGCTTATGTCTGTCATCTTAGATTGTCAGGCAGTTTTTCCCTAGAAGTATAAGGAGAGCTGCTGTGGCTGGTCTCTGACCTGCTCAGTGTTAACCCGTTGTCTCTGTGCTTTCTAGATCAGGAGCTAGTTCTCATGTAGAACTACTCCATTCCTGTGTCTCAGGCACTGTGCTGTACACTTTCTCTCACTCAGTCCTCAGAGTGGCCCAGCCAGGGAGCTGTGCCACCCCCATTTTAGGGGTGGCAGTGTAGGCCCAGTGTCTCATAGCAAATAGGCTCCACATGTAGGATCAAAGCCCACATTCCATTCTATCCCAGGCTGCTGTCCTTTAGATATAAACCTTTTCAGTGATCCTCTACTCTTTTGATTATTTGGAGGGAAATGCCTCAGTTATGTGTTAATTTAGCCTTTTTTTTTTTTTTTAAGAGAGTCTCACTCCGTTGCCTGGGCTAGAGTACCATGGCATCAGCCTAGCTCACAGCAACCTGAAACTCCTGGGCTCAAGCGATCCTCCTGCCTCAGCCTCCCGAGTAGCTGGGACTACAGGCATGCGACACCGTGCCCAGCTAATTTCTTTCTATTTTTAGTAGAGATGGGGAGGTCTCACTGTTGCTCAGGCTGGTCTCTAACTCCTGACCTCAAGCGACCCTCCCACCTTGGCCTTAGCCTTATTTTTTTTTAACTGTAAAGGTAAAAAAATACAAAAGTGCTTATAGTAAAAAATGCAAAAAGACCAGAGGAGTATAAAATGACAAGTAACACTTTTTCTATATCCCTGGTCCTTCATGTCTCCGCCTCTCTGTTGACGTTCCTTGTGTATGGAAGCATAACGTTCTGCTTTCATTTTGTGGATGTGCCATGTTTATTTAACTAATCCCTTATTGGTGAATACTTAGACTATTTCCAATTTTGAGTTTTTTTATTTTGTGTTGCTTTATCGAATAATATTGCAACAAACGACTCCTGATCAATGGCTTTGTTAGGTCAATGGTATATACATGTAAAATGTTGACAGATATTATCAAATTGCTCCCCAAAAAGGCTTTGCCAATTTATATGCCAAGTTATATAAGTGGGGTTGCTCCCAACATTCCTGACAATTTGGGGTAATTTCAAACTTTTAAATTATATTAGTCTGACTTTATTGGATTGTTCATTTCAAATTAGCCCTTTGTATGTGTGTGTCCTTCGTGTTTCAAATCCTTCCCCAGTTAACCTTATGATTTTGTTTTAGGGATTCTTTTTTCTTTTTTTGGTCATACAGTAACTTATAGTGGTGATATGGATTTATTAGTCTTTTCCTTCATGGCTTTTTGGGATTTGTATTATGCTTAGGAAGTCCTTTCCCACTTTGTGAATATTTTTAAAAGTCGTAACTGAATTTATTTTCTTCTATTGGGCCACTCCCATCCCATCATTTGATGTTTCTTCCCAGGGTTTCCCCCCTTCAGTTGTTCACTCTCCTGGTGACTGTCGATGAACTAAAGGCCCTCTCTTTCTGTAGAAGCAGATGAGAGCTGAGGAAGCAAAAATTGTTCAAGAAAAAGCTACCAAGATCAAGGAATGGGTGACGCTAAAGTTAGCAGAGGTGAGTCGAAAACTCATCCTGGGGGCCTGGGCTGGGGGCGTGGCCGGGGCTGCTGCTGGGGCTACCCTTATCCCTGAGGGTTTGCCTGCCGCCTCCTGTTTGCGGTGCCCTGACTGACCTGCAGCCATTTGTCACCCATTTGTCCTTCATGCAGCGTAAATGCTGCAATACCTCACCTCACTCTCCCTTTCCTTTCATCTTGGGCAGGTTTCCCTAGACTTCCTGACAAGCTTTGTGCTGTGGCTAAGTTTGGGGGGAAGGAATGAGTCTCACTTCTGAAAGGTCCCCTCAGTTTCCTCCTAAGGAGCACACACAGACCACTGTCCACTCTCTCCACATTCTCCTCTGTCCTTTTTAACTATTCTAACTATTTTTTTCCTTGTGGTGAAATATACATAAAATTTACCATTTCAACAGTTTCTTTAAGCATACAATTCAGTGGCATTAAGTACATTCACGTTGTTGTGCAAAAATCACCCCTATCTATTTCCCAAGATTTCATCACTCCAAACAAACTCTGCCCAACAACGTGGACTCCCCATTGTCTTCCCCTAGCCCCTGGCAACCTTCCCTCTCTATCCATTCATTGTTGTAGTTCAACACTTGCTACACAGCTTTATTTAGGAAACTTGGGACTAGAAGCTGCAGTGCTACTAGCAAACAAACAAAAAAACCACCCCTTCCTAAACAAATGGAAAGGGAATTGCGGTTTGGAAAAGGACGAACATACATCTCTCCTTCCTCTGTCCTCCTGAGACAAGCGGTTCACACCTGCAGGAGGGCATCACACCTGCAGGAAGGCATCGGCTCATTTTACCTCCCTTCCCCTTCTTCGGACACACATCTCAAGGTCACCTGGTAGATTGCAAATTCTTGGGGACAGAACTGATGCCTGGTTTACCTCCGTGTCCCCACTGCCCCATCCCTTGCTTGTTGGATTTAATTTAAAAGAAGATTCAGCAACCATGAGGATGGTTCTCATAGATGTTATGTTGAACAAAACAAGCCAGACATAGAGCAGGACATATCATATAATTCCATTTATCTAAAGTTCAGAAAGGGCACAACTAAACCAACGTGTAGGGATGCATACCTAGATGGCAAAACCCAGAAAGCAGGAAAGGGAATCTGGTAAACTTAGAGGAGTGGTTACCTTTAGCAGAGGGTGCATGTGATTGTGAAGGGACTGGTCAGATGGTTGTCTGGGTGCTGGCAGATTTCTACTTCTTAGCCTGGGTGCTATCATGTAAGTATGAATTTCAGAATCATTTGTTAAGCTGTTCATTGATATGGTGTGCAGTTTTCTGTATATGCATTGTATTTCAAAATATTTTTTTTAAAAAAGTTTAACTAGAAAAGAAAGTGCAGGAGCTGCCAAATTATATTCTGTCCCAGCCCAAACCCGTTGGTGTGAAGGGAGGGAGGCGGTCAGGGCTCTCTGGGAGGTCAGCACTGGATTGTCGGGACACCAAGGGCTCTTTTTCAAAGATTTGGGCTTTTAATCTTATTTTGACTTACGTGTCCAAACCTATAGGCTGGATATTCTAAATCTTCGTTTTTCCTTTTCCTCAGCTTGAGATGGAGAATCAGCAGCTGAAAAGCTGTAATGAGCGCCTGGTGGAGCAGGTGGGAGCCCTTCAAGATGCGCTAGAAGGTAGGCAGGCGCGCGTGTGCGTGTGTGTGCAGGTGTGTGCAGCGCGGTGTGGGGCTGAACTGAGCGAGCTCTCACTGTGCCTGTTTTTGCCCCAACCACAGCTCTTCAGATGGCTCCTTCGGGGAAGCTGCTGGTGACCCCGCAGGGAGCCCCAGAGCAGGATTCTGTTTCTTCAGGGCCAGGACCCCAGACTACGCGCCGGGACAGTGGTCCCCAGGCCCAGGGTCTGAAGATGGCTGTGCCTGCACCTTCTCCAGGTGCCCTGCGGAGCAAGGACTCTGTTTCTGAAGCAGGAAGCCCCTTGGAGGAGTCTAGTTCCAGTGTCATTCACTCTGGGGAAACAGCAGAGGCCAAGACCCTTCAACCTCATCTGGAAAGAGAGGGCTCTCCTCAACAGCTGTGCGTGAAGCCTCATATCCCCAGATGTGGCTCAGCTTCTTGGAGTGAGGGCCTGGTCGCTGCTCAGGGAGGGATGCCCCCTGGGACAAAGACCTATGCTAGGGAAGGTGTCCCTGGCAGCAGCCTAACCCTGCCAAAGGCGCGGGCTCCTGGCACCCCCAGGGACAGCATCCAGGTGGCCAAAAGGCACCACAGCCAGCCCCAGGTGGGCCCCGGGCACTTTGACCACGTGGTGAGCATTGAGATTGGGGCCTTCTCAGCTCTCCACCCCTCCGGCCTTCGAGCGCTGGAGGCCCCAGCTGAGTTCCGGGAAGAACCAGAGCAAATGGAGATGGAGGAGCTGCCCCCAGCAAGGAGGAAGGAGGAAAGAGAAGGCCTGAAGGCCCCTGGAGCTGAGCTGGAGGAAGTGGAGCTGGGGAAAAAACCGCCCACACCCCCCCTGCACCGGTTTCCATCCTGGGTAAGAGGCGACCCTGGGGCTGGGCAGAGGGGTGAAGCTGACAACAGGAACTGCTCCTGGAGCACATCCACCTGCTGAGCAGGAGATGAGGCTGGTGTCCTTGTGGCCCTGGGAGGAGGAAACCAGACCCTGCACAGACCACCCAACTTGTTTACCTCATTCATCTTTGTTTTGGGGTTTTTTTGTTTTTGTTGTTTTTTATTTTTATTTTTTTCTTTTTGGTGACTAGAAGATGGAATCATTTCATCTATGTGACTCTGAGGTGGTATGGCATGGTGGGTAAGAGCAGAGGTCCCAGAAGCAAACCATTAGGGTTGAATCGCTGTGTGACCCTGGGCATGTTATTAAACCTCTGTGCCTCAGTTTTCCTATCTGTAAAATGGGAATAGTAGTACCTACTTACAGGGTTGTTGTGAAAGTATTTGCAGTAGTGGTTCACAGTAAGTGGTATGTAAGTGTTGCCTATTTTTATTTTTAGCCTTAGCTTCCTTCTTTGTAACTCTGGGTAAAACGACATGACATGTGGTGGAATTGCTTCAGAAGCAGCAATCTGGGGCGGGCGTGGGGGATACAGAGGACACATGACTGGCTGTACATTAGTCTTTGCAGAGCTGGGTGATGGGTACACGAGGTCGATCTTTATGTTATTCTCTCTGCTTTTGTGTCAGACATTTTCCATGGTAAAAAGAAAAATGGGGCGGGCTATAAAAATGACACTCCACAGGTCATTGGTGAGGAGGACATGGGGGTATGAAGGGCTTCGCACAGAGCCTGTGGGAAGGATCCTTCCCTGTGCAGGGACTTAGGTGCTGTTTGTCCCTTTCACAGATCAGGAAACCGCTTTCCCCCACAGACTCAGGTACTTGCCCAAGGTCACGTAGTAGTTAGTGAGGGAGCCAGGCTTTAAACGTAGGTCCAGCTGCCTCCGAAGCCCAGCTCTCACCTTCCAGCTGTATGCCCCTTAGGGAACATTGCCAGAGCAGATGTCAGCCTCTTACTCGTGGGCAAACCCTCAGATGCTGCTGTGGTGTGATGCAGCACCATGGGGGGCATCTGGGTGTCAGCTCCTGGCAGCAGGGGGAATGGGGTCCCCTGGGTTGTCAGGGTGACACCACCCCACACCGCTGCTTGGGAGACCTGTATCTTCAGCAGCACCTTCCAGGGTGTCCTTCTGAAATGCTGGCTGGGGGAGGCTCACAGCCCCAGGCTTTTGGGTTATAACCTTAGCCGTGAGCTCTGACCAACTGCTGATTGCTACAGGGATACCTGCGAGACTGGACACCCAGCCGAGCCTCAGAGCGGGGCCTGAAGGAAGACTAGGGGCTGGAAAAGTGCAGGTCCCAGGGGCTGCCGACCTCTCCCTGCTCTGGAGTCTTAAAGCAGAGGTGGAGAGTGAGGGAGCATTCGGGCCAGGGATGTGGCCAGAGGGCTCAGCAGAGAGAAGTGTTGCCCACTGCTGCCACTTTGCAAAAATACAGCCATGTCTGTGGGCCTTGTGCTCTGCACGTGCATGCTAAGTGTGTGTGCATGAGGGCGGGGGGTGCAGAGAGGAGGGGGAGAGAAGGAGAGAGTATGTAAAACGCTGCAGATGACATTCTCCCCACATGAACCTCGGCCAGACTCTGGGCATGAAGGTATTAAGCAGCAGCAGCAGCTCTTCCCACAGCCCCTCCCTACTCTCGGCCGGGCCCCGGGGACCCAAGAATCACCCAAAGTAATTTAAGGAGAATTTGTCTTTGGTTTGCAGTCCTCTTTGTAGCTTGCTCCTGGGGAAAACAAGACCCAATGTCAGCTCCATCAGTCCCTACGGCACGATGGCTCCTGTCTGACGGAGAGCTTAGGAACCCGCAGTGGCTGGAGAGCCCAGCCTCTCTCTCTCAGGCAGGACTGGCTGGGCAGTGACCATCTGGGAGAAAAACAAAAACTGGAAATTCAGAGAAGGACATTTCTCAATCTGAGGGAGTGGGAAATACTCTTGTGCCTTTAGAGTTTGTGGAGCACTTTTAATCCTTACAACAACCTTGTGAGTTAAGCATTAGATAACCTTTTGTCAAACAGTCCTGTGTTTTGTTTAACCTAATTCTTTCAAGTTTAATTTCCTCTGTGAAGTTATAGGCCTGTCCTTGGTTGAATTCCATGACCACAATGGGCAGAAATAATCTTCTGTATGCCTAATTTTGCTACTTGGACCCAGCATATCTGCCCTACGTGAGGAATGCCGTGCCCGGCTACAGCGCCCCTCCTTGGCACCCTTCCTCATACCTTGCTGCACACTCCCCTCCGTTATCTCAGCGTCTCATGGTAGCACTTACCAGCCCCACCTCCCCCCTACTTGCCCCAGAGCTGCCGTTCCTCTCTGGGGCAACCCCCAGAGTGTAGCCCACCTCCCAGCCCAGCTGGCCCTGCTGTGACAGGATGTCCAGCTGCCTCCTGGAGCTGCATGGCATTCCTCTGAAGTCTGGCGACCTCCCCTAGTCAGCCTCTGTGACTCACAGTCACCTGAGCAGGCTGTTGTTTTCCCTTTAGGGTTAGTGGAGAAAACAGATATGGAAAGGCATAGGTGGGCCTCGTGGGTTGTTTGGGAGAAATGAAAGGCATTAGAAAAAGCTCCCCAGCCTGTGGCCTGCTTCAGACACCTGGGCACCCTTAGGACGGGCATTCTCCCATAGAAGTGTCCTCTGCATTGGGGTTCTGGTGTCCCATTGGGCTAAACAGGCTTTGTAGGTTGGCCCTGAAGCCTAACCATGATATGATATAACATTCTTACTCTAGGAAAAAAGAGTTCTAGGTTCCAAACAACTGTCTTACAAAAAGAGCATGCCCTTGAGGCACATACCTGTAGTCTCAGCACTTTGGGAGGCCAAGGTGGGAGGATCATTTGAGCCCAGGAATTTGAGGTGGTAGTGAGCTGTGATGACACCACTGCACTCCAGCCTGGGCAACAGAGTGAGACCCTATCTCAAACAAAAAGAAAACAATAACAAAAAACATGCCCTCATTGTGTGGCCCTGACGTCCTCATTATCAACACCCCCAACTTCTGGGGTGAGATCCTAACACCTGAAGGTCTCTAAAACAGGCAAGATTCCTATAACAGGTTACCGAGCCCCTCTGCTCTTCAACCTCCTTTGCCCCAAGGGGAAGGGTGGAGGCAAGAGAGGGAATGAATATCTGTTGGGCACTCACTATATTCCAGGTGTTAAATTTACGTTAATTATTTCATTTGATTCTCTCAGCAGCTTGAAAGGTAAGTATTACCTCCATGGAGGAAAAGGAGGCTCAGAAATGAAGTAACCAGGATTCCTCAGCCAGTCACTGGCTCACCTTGGGTGTGGACCCAGGTCTGCCCATCTCCAGCACCATGTTTTCACCTGCACACGCTGGAGGGGCTGGGCTGGGCATAGTCCTGGGCCCTGACCCTCCTGGGACCTCTCATTCCAGGAGAGCCGGATCTACGCTGTGGCCACATCGGGCATGCAGCTCTCAGATGTGTCTCCCAAAAGTATCACTGCCTGCTGCGGTGAGTCCCAAGTGAGGCGCGAAGGTATCAAACGCCCACGGTGGGAAGGGTGGGCAAGTGGGGAAAAGACTGAGCAACACCAGGGCCAGGGTCGCCTGGCACCCTGTTCCCTTCCCCAACAGGTGAAGCTCAGGTGGGATCACACAAGGGCTGCCTAGGAGGGAAAAGGAAGTCATGCAGATTCAGCTCATCACAGGGTTGTAGCCAGCCACAGAGCTGGAAGGGACCTTGGAGGGTCCTCCAGCCAAGCCTCCCACATGCACAGGTTTCCTTCTGCAGGGTGAGGCTGTGGGTGGGACGAGCGCCGGGTGCCCTGATGTAGATGAGCCCCACCCACTGGCTTCTGGATCACAGTCCCTGCATCGAGGGGAGAGCCCCATAGCAGCATGGTTAGTAACTCACGTTGGCAAGAGTCGGACACGGCGCAAGCCTCACGGAGCATAAGATGATTAAAGGGTGAGGCTTTTTGATTCCATTGTGATGGGTCCTTTACTGCATGGGGACCACGGTCCCCAAAGGAAGTCAAAGAGAATGGAAAAGAGGAAGAGAAGATGAACAAGGCCTTGGACCCCCTGAGATCTGTCACCTGGTGTGCTCCTGGAGGGAACGCTGTCTGCACAGCTCTCCCCGTCCTCCTTGTCTGCTCAGTCCTCTGCCTCCCCCACCCCCTTCCCGGATTTTACCACCCGAGTTAATCTCATCCCCTTTTCCCTGCTCAGCTTCAAGCCCTCCTGCCCTTGCATCCCCTGGGCCTTTCTCTGGCCTCATCTACAAGAATGTCACCGTGCCTGTCTACACAGCACTGAAGGGGGTAAGAAACTGCTGTGCAAAGAGGGGGTTTTCCCTTCAGGAGAGGCCCCTGGCCTGGGCATGCAGCGACTGGGGTGGGGTTCTGGGGTTAGGCCTCTGCTCACAGTGACCCTGTTGAGGGAGCTCAGCCCACCATTTGTCATTTTGTCTTATTTATTTTTATTAGGTTGTTGTTATAAAAACTCCACATTTACAAAAATTTGAATCAGTATGAATGTGGCCAGAGTAAGAAGTTTAGGTCAAACCTATGCCTGCTTCACCTCTCTCCATCTTTGCTCAAGTCTGTCCCACTGGCCAGGTGCTGGAGGGCAGTGGGGCTCCTTCCAGAACTATTTAGATATGATCAAGCGTGTATTCCCATAACATCACTACCTATTTTTTAAAACAAAAATCAGATGTAACTGCTACATGATGTTTTCATACACATTTTTGTCTCTGTTATTGGTTTTTCAATCATAATAGTAATACTTGAGAGAACTTTTTATAGAAGAATAAAAAACCAAAAGCAAAATCTCCTCTCACATTGGTTTTCCCTAATTCCTAACACCAGAGGCAATTATCATTAATGGTTTAGTGTTTTATTCTGTAAGGCCTTCTGATGCCTTTACAAATATGCACATATTCTTCTCTCTCACGTACACACAAAAGGGATCATATATATGACCATATATATGTCATCTGTACCTTGATTGTTCACCTAGCCATATGTGGGAAGCGGAGGCACCGTTCTCCCTGTGTGGCTGCTGGTACCTTTGGTATAGAAGCACCCAAACTATTGTAAGCTTTCCTCTGATGATAATTTAGGTCGTGTTCCTATTTTTCCCCAAAATAAGTGTTGCAGTAAACATCATTGTACAAATATATTATTTGTGAACTTACATATACATATCTCTATAGGACAGAGTTCTAGAGGTGGGATTTCTGGGCAAATTATATGCATATTTTATAATTTTTGACAGATACTGCCAAATTACCTTCTAAAAATGCCTTACACACTACAGCATCCTGTTTCCCATGTTCTTTCCATACTCTGACCAACTCTGAGATAATCAGTCATTTTAAATGTTTGTCAATCGAGACAATCTCTCATTGATTGGATGTCCCCACGTATTTTTAAAGCTCTTGTCCCACTCTTGGCCTGTGGTGTGGCTTTCTGGCCCCCTAGTGGCAGAGAGCAAGGGTCACAGCATGTAGGCGTTCAGTCTGGGTGGGGCAGCTGCTTTGGGGACCACAGAGGATGGTGTCTGGGGGAGGGAGGCCCAAGGAGAAGCTTGGAGGTAATGACACAGGAGCGAGGCCAGGAGGGAACTTATGCTGGAACAGTTTGTTCAGAGCCCTGGGGTGCGGGGTGATAGCCTCTACGTTGCCCCAGACAGGCTATATTGGCCACATCCAGGGTACTCGGAGCCAGAGTGTGAGCTGCAGTGGGGGAGGGGGCCTGTCTTGCAGAGAGCCACCCAGATCAGCAACGTGCCCCTTGTGGATGAGTCCTCTGGGTCCGATGATGACTGCAGCTCTCAGGCGAGTTTCCGAGCTTCAGTCCCCTGCTCTGAGGCCAGGAAGACCAGTGGACTAGGCAGCCCTCGAGCCATCAAGAGAGGTACAGAGGAGGGGAACAGGGGTGGGATGTAGCAACAAGGAGCCCCTCACCTCTTCCCGTGGGCACTTGAGTACGGGGGTCCCTGCTTGATCTGTGCTGTGACCCCCAGTAACTGCACCCTCTCCCAGACTCAGGGGTCCCAGGTGGGTAGTGAAGGCTCTGCAGCTCCTGGGCTGTATGAGTTGGGAGGTGTGGGACCCAGGCCTTGACCCCTCCTCCCGTGTCAAGGCGTCTCCATGTCCTCACTGAGCTCCGAGGGCGACTACGCCATCCCCCCAGACGCCTGCTCGTTGGACAGTGACTACTCAGAGCCTGAGCACAAACTGCAGCGCACCTCATCCTACTCCACCGACGGGGTGAGCTGGGAGCACAGCCCCACACCCTGCTGGGGGGCGGGGCGGGAGCACAACTCCAGCAGAGGCTGCGGGGGGCCCTCAGCACGAGACACAGCAGCAGCTGTGCAAGGTGCGGGGCCTGGGCTGGGTGGAGGGAGGGGGCACGGGGCTGGGCTGGGGGGTTGTACAGTTATGGAGTCAGACACACGCAGACCCCATGAGGGAGGGAAGTGGGAGCCAGTGAACTCCTTGGCATACCAGGAACAGCCAGTTGCTGAGAGCCCACCACAGCCCATGGCCCGACGGGTTTTACATACATGACCCTACTTGATAGCCACTCTTGACCCTGGAATGCTAACTCCAGCTGACATTTACTGAGCTCTCACAGGTGCTGTGCTCAGTACTTTTCCTACCTTGTCTCATTTCTCCTCGTGATCCTCTTGGGATTATTACCCCATTTCATGGATGAGAAGCCTGAGGCTCTGAGAGATACTATTACCTGCCATGGCTGGCAGTAATATGGATGTGTCCAACTTCCCAGCCCTTGCCCCACACCTCTCTGCTGCCCTGTCCCCCTCTCCCCACTCCACAACCCTCCCCCAGCCTGGCTGATGTGCCTGGTGTTCCCAGACTGCCTCACCCTCTCTCCCTTCTGTGCTGCCTTCTTCCTCCTCTCAGCTCCTCTTCCAGGGAGAGGCTGGCCCGCCCTTCAAAGGCCAGTTCAGGTCCTCTTTCCTGATGTCCTCCCTAGCCCGCCTCTCCCTCTTGCAGCCCTTGATCTGCCATCTTCTCACAGCTAGGTCTTCCCCAACCATCGTGGGAGCCCTTCCATGGCAGGACCACCCATGCTTTAGTCAGTCGCCTCTGCACCCTTAGCAGGGCATGGCGCCGTGAAAATACATGTAGGAGGTGCTCAATAATTTTCTTTTAAAAATTGGTAACAAAGCCATGACTCAGCTGGACCATTTAGGCCTGTGTGATGTCCAGGAGTCCCAGGTGATTTCCCCTTTCTGTTCCCCTCTTCTCCTCTCACCCTTCCACCCCTCAGGAGTCACTGGAGAAGTCGGGCTACCTGCTGAAAATGGGGAGCCGGGTGAAGACGTGGAAGAGGCGCTGGTTTGTCCTGAGACAGGGACAGATTATGTACTACAAGTCCCCGGTGAGAGCTCCTCCCCGGCACTCTAGTCAAAAGAACCCCACCCCAGACGCTGGACCGTGCGAGGTGGGATGGAGAGGGCAGGTGCGGCCCAAGGCCAGAAGGGCAGAGGTCTGGCAGGCGGGGAGAGTCCACCTGACTGGGCACCCAAGTCTTTGAGCCACACACGGGTCGGAGGCTGGTAACCGGTTCTCACGACGGAATAAGGCGGACGCAGGCAAAGGCCAGTTAGGCCAGTTGGCCTGGCAAGTCCTTCTTCCTTCAGAAGCTGATTTCCTCTATGCCCAGTTCTGTAAAAGAACTTTCCCAGGCTGCCCTCACATCACCTAGAGTAGGGGTCCCAACCTATGGTGAGTTGTATAATTATTTCATTATATATTACAGTGTAATAATAAAGTGCACAATAAATGTACCGCGCTTGAATCATCCCAAAACCACCCCCCTACTCTGCCCCCAGCCCAGGTCTGTGGAAAAATTGTCTTCCATGAAAATGGTCCCTGGTGCCAAAAAGATTGGGGACCACTGATCTAGATTGTTCTAACAGGCGAGTTCATTGCCTCCTCCAACCTCGTTCCTCCACTGTTTGGAATTAAGGAGCCTTGGATATAGGAACTAGTTTGATGGGACCTCCCTGAAGAACCAATTTTAACATTTTAAAGAGGGCAAAAAGGCCTCTTGTGCAACTCCAGATGACTCAGTGACTGTCTTGAACACCGTGTTGAGGATCCTGGGCCTGTGTTGCTCAGTGAGAAAGCATGCCGTGATTGATCGGTAACGTCTACAGTGACACTGGAAAGGGCACTAATAGTAATATATATGTCATTGATTTGCCATACTTGGTATAAAGGATGTAGTAGAATTTAAGGGCTTTATAGTTCAGTAATAACCAGGTGGCTTCTGACCCAATTTTAAAGGCTCATTCTATCCTTTTTTGTTTCTTTGGGTTTTTTTTTTGAGACAGAGTATCACTGTCTCATCCGGGCTAGAGTGCTGTGACATCAGCCTAGCTCACAGCAACCTCAGACTGCTGGGCTCAAGTGATCCTCCTGCCTCAGCCTCCCGAGTAGCTGGGACTACAGGCATGCGCCACCATGCTTGGCTAATTTTTTCTGTTTTTAGTAGAGGTGGGGTCTTGCTCTTGCTCAGGCTGGGCTCAAACTCCTGACCTCAAGCACTCATCCTGCCTCGGCCTCCCAGAGTGCCAGGCATGAGCCACTGAGCCTGGTCACATTCTATCCTTTTTGAGGCCTGGGTCAGAAGGATCCATATTTCTAATTAAGGCTCCATTTAGCTATTAATATTAATAGAACCAGAATCTATAATAAGTTACCCACCATAACATAGCCAGGAATCTTGGGAATCACTTTCCCCTTTGCCTGTGACCTGGAGTAAGCTATAAGGGAAGGCTCCACACTCTAATCACTTTTCTCCTTTTCCTTCCTTTACAGAGTGATGTCATCCAGAAACCTCAAGGTCAAGTGGATCTGAACTCCCGTTGTCAAATTGTTCGAGGGGAGGGTGCCCAGACATTCCAGGTGAGCTTGCTCCTAGCAGCTCGTATTCAGACAGGAGAGGTGCTGGGCTTGGATGTGGCTGTGATTGAAACAAAGGTGGGGCAAAATGAGCACGAAGGAAAGACATGACATCCATATCTGGGTGTAATCCTAGTTTGTGAGTACGAGAAAGGAAGAGGAGACAGAATGTGAGAGATAGAGGGAAGGAAGGAAAGACAGGGAGAAGAGGAGGAGGAAAAGAAGGGAGGGAGCCAGAGAAAAGGAAGGGGGAAGGCCCAGTGGGTTCCAGGGTCTGGGCCACCCCAGAGCCAGGTCCTGGTTATTCCATCCTCCTGTCTTGCTGCCCCTGGCCCTGTATCTCACCCTCCATAGCTCATCTCTGAGAAGAAAACCTACTACCTGACGGCTGATTCACCCAGCCTGCTGGAGGAGTGGGTCCGAGTGCTTCAGAGCCTGCTGAAGGTGCAGACCACTGGGCCTCCAGCCCTGCCTCGGGGTGGCACCAAGCCCACAGTCAAGGGCTGGCTGACCAAGGTATGGCATGGGGCTGACAGCACAGGAATGTCCGGGGAGCCAGGAGTGGGAGTGCCAAGGGGTGGTGAGTCCCCTTCTTGTATTATACACGGCTCCTTTCTCCAGGAGCTTCCTCACATGATAGCTGGTTGGCCCCTAAACATGGTCTGACCACAGGTGATGGTGAATGATTCCCTGGAAACAGACATCAGGGTTGTTAGAACAACTACTGTTCGATCCAACTGCTTGTCTGGGCTTTCTTAAAAAACAAAAAACAAAAAAACTATTTTCAACACAGAAGAGGGACAGGAATGTCTCATACCCACTTTGAGGTCATTAGGGGTTGCCCCCACCCCCACCTTGTATCCACCACACCCCAGCATTAATAGGGGGAAAGACCCAGACGAGGTAGCTGTGATCATTCACATTTGCAGGTTCCCCAGCCTGCCCTGAAGACATTTCAGTTAGGGCTTTTCTGGTTGCAAGGAGCAGAGAAACACTCGGTAACTCTGAGAAAAGGGAAGTTAACAGGGAAGCACGTGAACTAGACCAGAAGACCGTCAGGAACCAAAGCAGCTCGTGCTTAGCAGCCTCAGTGCTCACAGGCTTGCGCTGTCTGCTTCTGCTTCCTCATTCAGTCTGTGTTTATGTCATTCTCCTCTGCCTGTGTGTGGTTTCTGTTCCCTGCCATGGCCCTTACCTCCCTCACGGCATCCTGACAACTCTGGCCTCTGCCAACCAGCAAGTTCTTCCTGTTTTCATATTCCTGGGGGGATGTCTGATTGGCCTGGTTAATTGTTTAATGGCAGGTCATAGGGCACTGGGGTGCCACATGGTACACACCATGGCTTCTTGCTGTGAAAGGGGTGGTTCCATCAGCAGGGAGTCAGAGTGGCATCTCCACTAAGGACCTGAGTTTGACTGTAGGGCCAGGGTCTCCTGGTTCTAATAATGTGGATCATTTCTGTCTCACAGGTAAAGCATGGCCACTCCAAGCTGGTCTGGTGTGCTCTGGTTGGGAAAACTTTCTACTACTATCGGAGCCATGAGGACAAGGTAATTTATCCCACCTCCTGACAGCACTCACTCTCCTGCTCCCCCTAAAGCAGATTACTGTGGCTCTAGGCCCTGATGGAAGTCCCCAGCTTTACCCTATACCCCACCTAACCCCATGAAAAATACAAAAGCCAGTGGCTGATCCCTCCAGAGTGCGTGGCCAAGCGCACGTGGCCAGCAAATTGTGCCTGTGTGGTCCATGGTGCTTCCCTAGGCAGGCCTCATTCTGCTCCCGGCCCAGCTGGGGAGCTGCAGTCTCCACTGCCCGCCTCCCCATGCTGCCATTCGTCCGTATCCACACTTGCCAGCCCTACAAGCCCAAGCGTTCAGAGAGAAGAGACTCTCCCGCACCCCACTGGCTCTCCCATTCACGGAAGGCTCATGTCCACAGCGACCCCTGGGCCGTCTGCCTGTGCGGGATGCACGCATAGCGGAAGTAGATCGATCCTGTGACTCAGACGAGGACTATGAGGCTGGAGGAACCGGCCGGCTGCTTTCCTCCCACTGCACCCTGGTGATCCACCCCCCAGAGCACAGCCCCACCTACCTCCTCATCGGCACAAAGCACGAAAAGGTAAGGAAGGGGGGCTGGGCCTCCATGGCCAAGCTTCTGATCTTCCTTCTCTCTTTCCCCTGAGCTTCCCAAAATTCAAGTTTGTTTCCCTCTTGGACAGTTTGGCAACTAATACTCTCTGAATGGGAATATTCCTTTATATTGAATTCATTCCCAATGACCAGCGTCTCTTCACTGGGGCTATGAGATAAAACCGCAAACTTGGAAACTTGGGTTCATGTTCACGTGATCTTGAGTCTTTCCTCTTAGAGACTGTTGGCCTTTTCTTGTGCCAACCAAACTAGCTGAACCTACCATGGGCTTGGCCCCTTCAACGTGCCCTCCGTGGAGCTCTTGCCTCCACTCTTCCCACCCATCCCCATCTGGTGACTTTCTACCCTCTTCCAGGATACGTGGCTTTACCACCTCACAGTGGCTGCAGGTGGCAGCAGTGCCAAGGTGGGCACTGCCTATGAGCAGCTCATTGGAAAACTGATGGATGGTGAGGGAGACCCAGGTAAGGCAAGGGCGGCATCACTGCTCGGGGCCGGGGAGAAATGGCTGGATGACCGTTGGTCAAGAACCCAAAGAAAGCACTGTTGTGCCATGAAGCTGGTTTTACAACATCTAGGCCACAGAGGGGACTTCCCATCCCAACTCTAGAGCCCCTCTGTCTCCGGCCAAGATGCTGCGGTGACCACTGTGTATCTTGGGGAGTTTATCTGGGAAGCAGACTTTCCAGGGACTGTGTAAATGTTTTACTTTGTTCAACCTGCAGCTTTGCTGGCTGGGCAGAGGGTTGAGGAAAGAAGGTAGCTGGTTAATCTGTAGTTAGAGTTTGTTAATCAACAAATGAAACCTAAATGGGGATCAGGCTAACCTAAACCTGGGCTGTTTGGAGTCTTTATTTCGCTACTGATCCTCAGGGCCCTGAGGAACTAATGAGCGACACATCCCCCAACATCCCTTCACTACTGCTCCGAGGCTCATTTATCCCAGGCCGATTCAAACACTCCTTCGCCCAGACCTGACACGCTAAGCGGCCTCCCCTGCACACGTCCTCTTGCACTCAGACACCCACAGCCTTGCACACTCACCCCGGCCGCAGCTCCACAAGGAAGGCGGTGGCCACCTGCCTGTACAGCCTTGCTGGGAGTGTGCTAACTGCAGTGCACACCTGCGCACCCCACTCTGCGGATGATGAGCCCAGCACAACCCATGTGTTCCAGATAAACCATTATCTTCCCCACAAATTAAAGTCGGTGGGAGGTGGGAGGTGAGCGTCCTCCTCGGTGGTAACTGCTGCTGTTCTGTGGTGCTGTTCTTTGGGCAGATTCCCCGCTCTGGAGGCACCCCATGCTGTGCTACAGCAAAGACGGGCTGTACACCTCCCTCACCACGCTGCCCTCTGAGGCCCTGCAGACGGAGGCCCTCAAGCTCTTCAAGGTAAAGAGGGAGCGTAGCTCAGGCCCACCGCTGGCAGCACCCACCCCACATTGCCCGGGCTCTGCCAGAAGCAGCTCCAGCCCACCGTGGTGATACTCGGGTGGAGGAGACCCATGCAGTCAGGGGGATGGCCCACAGAGGGATCTGGAGAAGGGACAGAAACTCCCACAGGGTCCCTGTTGCTTCCTTTGTGGCAAGAATGTAATCCTCTCCCTGGGAGGGAGGAAGCTCTGGAACTTCATGCACAAGTCCTTGGGAAATGCCAATGGAAACTCCTTCGAGGAGCACCCCCTCCTCCTGTAGTTAAGCAGGAAAGGCCAGGTTCATGTTGCCTCTGGACCTCAGAGATTCTGACCTATTTTAGAACACTCTTTGTGCCTGTCTGAATTTTCTGTTTTTTTAAAAAAATTAATTTATGTAATGGCAACATTAATAAAAGGAGATTCTATCCCTTTCAGTAAGCATCGATGCTCTCAAGCAGAATGGTCCCTCTTAGAAAGGGCTGTCTCTTGGTGAACTTGAGCGTCCCTCAAGCCCTGAGGGAATGGCCCAGGCCGTTTGCCTCTCCGCTTAGAGTCAGAGACCCCATTCCACTGTCGGAGAGGACAGTGACCCAGGGACTGTCGGTCCACCTATGCTCACCGTCGTTTCCCTCCCAGTCCTGCCAGCTCTTCATCAACGTGCCCGTGGAAGCCGCCTCAGTGGACTACCACGTGTCCCTGGCCCAGACGGCACTGCAGGTCTGCCTGGTTCACCCTGAGCTGCAGAGCGAGATCTACTGCCAGCTCATGAAGCAGACCAGCTGCCGCCCGCCTCAGAAGTACTCCCTCATGCAGGTGGGCCTCTCCAGGCGGAACGGCTGACAGGAGCCGATGGCAAGGGCTGCCCAGGTGGGAAGGGCGGGCAGGGGTGACTGGGCAGGCACGCGCTGAGCCTAGCCGGCGGGCGCCTAAGTGCTTGAAGCTGCCTCGGTGTGGCCGTGCTGTCCGTGCCATCAGACTGGGTGACTGCCACTCTGGGTCAGCCTGACCAACTGGGCGATCCTAGGACCCACAGCAGTTGGGGCTTTGGTTTGGGGAAAGAGTGCTGAAGGCTCTGCAGCTCAGGGCTGAGGGCAGGTGGCGCTGCAAACCGAGCACTCACCCCATGTGCCTGTGTCCCCAACAGTGCTGGCAGCTCCTGGCTCTGTGTGCCCCACTTTTCTTGCCTCAGCATCATGTCCTCTGGTATGTCAAACAGCAGCTCCAACGCCATGCAGATCCCAGGTGAGTGAACCTGGCTGTTTCCTCTGTCACTCGAGCACTGCCAACTGCAGCAGCAGTAAGAGGGACGAGGGGAGACTAGGACAGACCAGATCGCTCCTACCCTCTGAGATGGCTCAGTGGTCAGGGAGACTTCACCCATCATTGTGTACACAAATAGGCACGTGGTGATCTGGGCATGCTTGGGCTTCTCTGCACGCCAGTCCATGTGTCCATGGATGTGTTGTGACAGCTCTCATGTGAAGCCACATTGCCCCCAAATTGACCCCAAATGCTCATTCTCTGTTGCCATGTCCCCTGGCTTCTGGAGGAAAATATCCATGCCAGCAGCATGCTGCATATAGGTCCTGAATGACAAATTAACACCCAGACTCTCACAACCTGCCCCAGCTATAGTTTGGTCCTGGCTAAGTCTGGGTAGGGACCCCGGGTGCCAAGGTGGCAGGATGAGCAGAGTCCCTAACAGTCCTGTCTTACTTCTCTTGCCTTTTAGGAATGAAACTGGCCAATATGCCACCTACTGCCAGCGGGCAGTGGAGCGGACCCTGCAGACTGGGGAGCGGGAAGCCCGGCCATCACGCATGGAAGTGGTGTCCATCTTGCTGCGCAACCCCTTCCACCACTCCTTGCCCTTCAGCATCCCCGTGCACTTTGCCAACGGGACTTACCAGGTGAGGAGGCCGGGCATGCTCCCTGCCCCGGGTCTTCCCCTGTCCCTGTCCCAGAGGAGAATGCCTTTGGGCTAGGTGGGTGCCAAGGCTTCCTAGGCTTGGTAGATTCTTTTTTTTTTTTTTTTTTTTTTGAGACAGAGTCTCACTCTTTTGCCCGGGCTAGAGTAAGTGCCGTGGCGTCAGCCTAGCTCACAGCAACCTCACACTCCTGGGCTCAAGCGATCCTTCTGCCTCAGCCTCCCAAGTAGCTGGGACTACAGGCATGCACCACCATGCCCGGCTAATTTTTTCTATATATTTTTAGTTGTCCGATTAATTTCTTTCTACTTTTAGTAGAGATGGGGTCTCGCTCTTGCTCAGGCTGGTTTCGAACTCCTGAGCTCAAACAATCTGCCCACCTCGGCCTCCCAGAGTGCTAGGATTACAGGCGTGAGCCACCGTGCCCAGCCTCATTAGCAGATTCTTATCCGGCAAATTAGAAAAAGGGATGGGCCTAGGATTTGCGGGTAGGACTGGGTGGTTAGTGCGAGCATGTAGGGAGAAAGGAGCTTGAATCATGAAAGTGCTTCACTGGTGCCCTGGAAGTAGATCTCTTGGACCCACTGCATGGACAGCAAGGCTGAGACACTGACCAAGAAGTGACATAAGAAAGGGCCCCCAAAATATTGTCAGTACAGGAGAGACCGAGCTCATGTCCAAATCCAGTTTCCAGTAGGCAGGCTCATATCCTTCATGCACCGGCCCTCTGCACGTGAACACGGAAGCCGACTTGCTCTGGCCTCTCGCATTCGCCCTCATTCCTTTCCACCTGCTGTGCTCAGACCCCTCTGCTAGCCCCAGTGAGCACCTCTCAGGAAGTTTGCTCTAGGACAGATCACCTCTCCGCCCACAGGTGGTTGGTTTTGACGGCTCCTCCACAGTTGATGAGTTCCTCCAGCGGCTGAACCAGGAGACAGGCATGAGAAAGTCATCCCACTCTGGCTTTGCCCTCTTCACAGACGATCCTTCCGGCAGGGACCTGGAACACTGCCTGCAGGGGAGTGTCAAGGTGACAGCCTCCCCACTAAGCCAGTTGAGCCCCTCCTGAGTTCCCTCCCAGCTCAGGGATATCGGTGGTGGGGAAAGAGCCTGTCTAGCGGGTACCTGACTGTTCAGCAGCCTGTTTAGTGCTGAGCCCAAGGTGCTGCCTGGGTCAGCATTCCTGTGTCATCCTAAAATGTACCTGGGCAGGCAGAGAAAAGCTGAGCTGTTGTGTGCCCTTGTCTCTGGAAACACGAGCTGCACACCCTGCCTCCCTCAAGTGGCTGTGCAGCATCGAGGGGGAAAGCCTCTCGGCTCAGTGTGCGGACAGGGAGGCCCCACCAAGCTGCTGCCAGTTACAGCTGCCCTCTCATAGGCAGATAGTGCTATGCCTAGACCCACTAGGTGCCATGTTGTACACAAGCACCTCGCTTTCACCCTTCCTGCTGGGGCCCATGCCATGCTTATAGGTTCAGCCATATTTTAAGAGGTAGGTCCGTATGGTACCCCTGCAAGTAAAGAACCTTGAATGGGATTTCATACCGATTATGGCCTGGGACTAGTACCATGGGGGGTGTTAAGTGTTTGTGGGAACCTGCGATAGCACTTGATGAGTCTCAGTATTTGGCTCTTGTCTGCTTTCTTTAAGGCAAAAGGACAAAGGCTTCTATAGTCTTTTAATGTTGCCTGGAAAAACTGTGCCATGTATCTTTGTAAATGTTTGGGCATCTGTAAGACTCTGTTACAGACAACAGGCCTCTGGGTGTATTTGTTGAAGAGAATGGCAATCAATGGAATGGAAAATGGAGCCAGTGATATGAGGCCATGGTTTTTGACTGGGGCCTGCCTAGCCTCTGGGGAAGCCCCTCAGCTGTGGAGGTGGTGGGGGCAGAGTTCCTGGCTTTGCTGCTCACCATGCCCACGGTTCCCCGTCTGTGAGGGAGTCCTTGGGTCCTGCGAGCACCTCAGGTCCTGGGAGCAGAAGGCCCCGCAGGTCAGCCTCCCAGTGGGAGGACCTCAGCTCTGCTCTGCTTTGCCCAGGTCCAGCCCTGGCTGGACCATGTTCCCCTCATGAGGGGCTTTTCTGACTTCCCTCTTTTTGCCTCTTCAAGATCTGTGATGCCATCTCCAAGTGGGAACAAGCCCTGAAGGAGCTGCATGCTGGAAAGTCTGAGGGTGGGACACGTGTCGTGAAGCTGATGTACAAGAACAGGTCATGAGCACTACATGAGGGTGGGGCCAAACACAAGGGCTGCCACCAGGTGCCAGCTCATCAACTCAACTAGTGGCCTATCCAGAAAGGCACAGGGGCCCACAGATGTAACCCTGCCTGGTGGTCACTAGCTGGGGCCCAGGTGGGCTCTGCTCTTGATCCTCTGTGAGACCCAGGGCAGCTCAGGCCGTCACCTTCCCTGTACCGTGTGTGCACACATGGGTGCATGCATACATGCCAAGAAAACAGACCAACATCATGGGATGGCTGCACATGTTACTTTATGAGAGTGGTTTTGTGTGATCACCAGATATTTAAGGCTAAAGAATAAATAGCTCCTATACCAATTCCAGGAAACACAAAAGTAGACATCCTGGCTTTCTGTCAATTTGAATAAGAAAATCCCATCCCAGTATGTCTCTAGGCAAATAATTTCCATTAGTCCTTGGAATCTTAACTCATCCAGTCCCCTAATAAGCTATGATTCCAGGTACCAGATTCTGCTCACCAAATCCAGTAAGTCTAACGGTACGTTTGGAATTAACCATGTCTTCCTATTGGCATGAGGTCTGCATGGCCCTGCATCTGCTCTGTGTCATACTTGGTTATATGTTTCTGGGGGCAATACAAAATAGACTCATAAATAGTGTAAAATGAGTAGTTTCTGTCTTTGGAAATCAAGATAACAGATCCAGAGAAAGCCCCGTCTCCGGGATCCTACCTGAGCCCTGGCTGCTTCTCGCTCTCTTCCCTGCAGGCTGTACTTTCGCAGTCAAGTCAAAGGGGAGACGGACCGAGAGCGGCTGCTCCTTGCCTCCCAAACTAGCGGAGAGATAGTAGCAGGGAGGTTTCCTGTCAACAAGGAACTGGCTCTAGAGATGGCTGCTCTGATGGCCCAGGTAAGGATCTGTTGAGGAGGCAGGAGGGTAAGGATGCCATCTCAGGGCTGAAACACAAGAGGTTCTGCAGTTCCTGTGCTGCCCAGGAGAGGGTGGCCTGGCCACCTCTGGTACAGAGCACCGCTGACTCCTCACTGCAGGCACATGGGCACAACGCTGGACTTGAAATCCAGACCTGGGTTTGAGTCCTAGCCACCTTCCAACTGTGAGATTTTAGCCAAGGCACTTCACTTGTCTATGCTTTAGTTTCCTTCTGTTTTTATTTTTTATTTTTATTTATTGAAGCTCAGAGGGTTTAAGTAACTTGAGCCAGGACACAAAGCTGGTAGATGGCAGAGCCGGGATTTGAGCCAGGTGTCTGACTCTCAAGGCCAAATCGGGAACGCTCTGCCATGCTCTAGGCTCTGTAGCATCTTCACTCCTGCATCCCATAGCTTTGTACTGGAAGCCAGAATTTCCACATTGTTTTCCCTTGTCTGTCACTAATTGTGTCTTTGGAAAAGCCACTTCACCTCAGCTGCAAAATGAAAGTTGGTCTAGAATTGTATCTAATATTCTAGGACCCTAAGTTTGTTTCTCTAACGTCTATAAATCCTGAAATGAAGGATTTGTCCACAGTGTTTTTCACATCCATTCATACCCCACCAATTAAGTAATAAAGTAATGGTTTATTTCACCTCTCCAACAGCACCTACCCGGCCCCCTATACCTCCAGATTCTTGATCTCTTCATGTGCTTCTACTGCAGGTCGAATATGGGGACTTGGAGAAGGCTGTCCTGCCAGGCGCTGGGGGCACACCCCCTGCCAAAGCTCAGCATCTCCTCCAGCAGGTCCTAGACAGGTTCTACCCAAGGCGCTACAGACACGGGGCCCCCCCAGAACAGCTGAGGTAGGTAGGCTGCAAGGTCTTGTGGTCCATCCCTATGGGCAGGCCTCGGAGCTGGAATGAAAACATGTTGGCACTTCACTGGCACCTTTTCTCTCCATCTACCCAAACCAGGCACCTGGCAGACGTGCTGACCACAAAATGGGCAGCACTGCAAGGCTGCTCCCCTCCTGAGTGCATCCGCATCTACCTGACCGTGGCCCGGAAATGGCCTTTCTTTGGCGCCAAGCTCTTCGCTGCTCAGGTAGGTGCCAGCGGAAGGAATGGCTCATACCCTTGGGAACACTCTGAGTGTCTCCTGGAGCTGCGTCCCATCTGCTCGTGCCGAGCCAGGCCAGTCTGCAGCCCTCACCTCCACCCTGGCAACACCAGGGCTCGCTATCTCTCCACCCATTTCTGGCCTACTCCAGACTTCCAGATCCAGAGCAGAGCTGTGATTCACTGCTTATCTTCATCCTTTCTTTAATGACTTCTCAGTGCTACTCCTGAAAGAAAAGATAGGATCGACTAATTCACACAAGGATTCAGACTTGATATCCCTCTCGAGTGCTTTCATTTTTAAAAAGTTTGCAAGATAGAACAATGTATAACTTAAACAAATACATCTCCACTGGTGTGGCATGGCACACAGGGGAATCACACTACTCAGGCAACAGTTAATGGCACCTCTCCGTGAAGGCCAGTAGTAATTTCAGTGGGAACTTTTCTTCACCAGGTATCTGGTGTGCATGAACTTCATAGATAATCAATCACAGGCATTATCCTGTGCTCAAAGCTAGACGGTGAGCCTGTTCACTAAAGCTCCAGATGAGAAAATGGACATTTACTCATTCATTCAACAAACAGTCATTGAGCTAACTCCTACTATGTCCAGTGCTAGTTATTTGAGGTTATAAGAGGTAAGCAAATCGGATACAGTCCTTGCCTTCATGGAGCATCAGTCCCTTCTAGCAGGGGAGATACACATTCATCAGATAATCATATGCATATTCATTCTTTTTCTCTCTTTATATATACGTATATATAAAATTTTAACAAGCTGTCATAAGCGCCGTGAAGGAAAAGTACAGGGGTATTATAAAGGCATATAACAGAGACCCACTTGGTCTGGGAGGTGACGAGAGGCTAGGAAAAGCTTCTGAAAAAGGTGACATGTTCATCTGTCCCCCTCTTGGGTAGGAGAAATAGATCTTCCGGATTACCCTACTGTAGCCTGGGCAGCGAGAATTAGTCATTGCAGGAAATGTCCACTAAACAGTCACTTTCTTACTGGTAGGGATAAAGCCCATAAAATTGGATTCTTTTTCTCTTTTTCTTTGTTTGGTAGAGATGGGGTCTCACTCTTGCTCAGGCTGGTCTCCAACTCCTGAGCTCAAGCAATCAACCCACTTCAGCCTCCTAGAGTGCTAGGATTACAGGCGTGAGCCCTTGACCCGGCCAAGATTGCATTATTGCTTTCCTATTTCTTTTACAGTCCCCAGGAAAATGTCTGAAGCCACATGCACTTCAACTGGGAGACTCTGGGTAGAATGCTATGTTTTTGAGAATTAGGAAAAAGCCTATTCCCTATGCCCATGACAGAGCAGCCAGGGCTGGCCTATATTCTGTAGCAAAGAGCTTTCCATCCAGTGTACTGGGGCAGCATGAGTTCTAGGTATGCCACGAGAGTGATCCCCTCTGCCCTTGGGATGGTTAGCAGGTGGCCAGATGCCTCCTGCCACAAGGAGCCTTGTCTGTTTACTGTGTACATGGTACAGATACCATCTTCAGATCCACAGATGTGCCTTCTCATAAAGTCCTTATGGTTTGGAATCTCTGTGGATACGTCTGATGGGATTTTCCTGTTTCCCCAGCCTGCCCAGGTGTCTTCCAAGGAAAACACTCTGCTGTGGATTGCGGTGAATGAGGATGGTGTCAGCATCCTGGACCACAACACTATGGTACGGCAGGGTGAGGGCTGGTTCCCTGACCCTCCTCCTCCTGAACACTGTCTTTTCTTCTCCTCTCTGGACTCAAAGGCCTGAGCTAAGTGACCATGGTTTCCCTACCCCCACCCAAGTTGCTGGCCTCTAGTCTAGACAAAGCTTGTAGACATTCAAGATGGATATCTCCAAATTATGACCACTTCAGAGTTCTCCCTTCTTGGCTAAGGCTACCTGTGCCTACAAGAGACAGGGAATGCTGGTTCTTAGCTCAGGAGATAGGTGGGAAGTTTCCCCAGAACTAATTGGTTCCTTTCTACAGCAAGTGCACATCACTTACCCCTACTCTTCAGTGATGACCTTTGGTGGCTGCAGGGATGACTTCATGCTTGTGATTAAGTCCATTCCAGACCAGAGCTCTGGAAAAGGCCAGATTAAGAAGTTGATTTTCCGGATGGCTGCTCCCAAGGTGGGTCTGACAGCTGCTAAAACATTTTAATCTGATCTGGTATGATGTAGTGGGCTTGAAGCTTAGAGGAAACTGGAGTTATGATTGTGTTCTAGATGGGCCCTGCCCCAGATAAAATTATTTGTATTTGGGACAAATACAAAGGGTTCTGGTGGATTTGGATCTAAGTGTCACTTTTGGGGCTAGTAGGTAGAACTAGTTAGGAGGGAACTGACTTTGGTCTAGCTACCTACTACTGTGCTCTTCACTGGAAATCTCTAAGCCCCAGCACCACGCAGGCCTGAAATGGGTACCCACTTGCTCTTCTCTTATTTGCAGCAGGCCCCAAGGTAGGGCAGCTTCCTTTGTAAGGTGCTCTCATCTTACCCCTGGGTTCTGCTGACCCAACACTAGGTACAAAGTAGGACAGTCTCCATAGTGCTCCTTCTTCCTTGTGGTCTTGAAAATGGCAAAAAGACCTCTCTTGCTTTAAGGACTCTGTTCCTACTCAGTATAGGAAATGTTGACCAGCAAAAATAACAATTACAAAGGCTCAGAAACCTCAGTTCTGATATATTGTTCCTGACTCCCTTCTGAGAGTAACTGGAAACCCTGTTCTCCACTTTATCCTCAAGTTGGAGTTTGCCAAACTACCTCCTCATTTTCCTACCACCCCTACTAAAGGAGAGGATATACAGATTCCTTACTCAAGAAGGCCCCCGTCCCGGCTGTAGAGCTGCCCAGAGCAGAATGTTGGTCCTCCTTTTCTCAGGAGGGTACTGTGTGTCTCAGAGGACTTCTAGTCCAATGCTCATTTCACTAGGCCTGTGAACCTCACAGTAATGATTCCCTTTGGGTATTTTCTCCCAGGTGGGTATTTTAAGAGATTAAAGAAACTGAGGCCCGGGAAGGTTATATACCCAATATAACAGCTAGTAAGTGAGAAAGTTAGGATTCAGGCCAAGGCTAGTTTAATTACTTCACTTCTCTGACCTCTCCTTAGATTGCGGAAGCTACCTTCATCATGGCCAGCTACATGAACCATTGCTCGGCAAATGTGAACCCATCCACCAACCCGCCAGCAGCCCGTCAGCTGTGGGACCTGGATGGACGACAGTTCTTTGCTTCTGTTTCCCGTGCTACCAAGGGGCCAACGTTGCTGTGAATATTTCTCCTACCCCTTTCCCCACCACCACTGGTGCCTCTGGGGTTAGAGATATGTATCCTGGGGTGTGATACTACTGTGAGGGGTCTAACAGCCCCTCCTCCTCTGTTTGTTCTGTGGAATGTGTATTTGATTGTCTGTGAAACCTTTACCCTTTAGGTGCCTTATAATGTTTCAGGGCCCAACTTTTAAAAATCCAGACCCAATGTAAAAACCACTTACTCTTTTTTTCATAAGAATAATGACTCTGGATGCTACCCAATTCTAGACTTAGATAGGGATAGTCTACTGTTACTGAGGGCATCAGTGAAGGTTGGGGCTTTCTACACTGATACTCTCAAGGAAGCTAATATGTTTTGTATTGTGTATGGTCCTTCTGGAGATTTATACTTGAAGTTTTCCAAACATCCTTGAACAGAATAGGACTAAAATTTCTAATTCACCTGAACTCTTGACAAAAGCCTAGAACTCACTAAAACTGGCCTTCCTTTTCCAAATAGGAAAGGTGTTGGCAGGGATGGAGAAAAAGGAATAGACTCACTTTTCCCCTTTATTGGTGAGTAGGCATTTGTAGTGCCCCTTCCCTGGGGCAGCAGCTCCTATCTTTGCAGGACAACAGACTATCCCTGCTAAGATTCAAGCTCTTTTCCCTCACACTGGACTATAAGCCAAACCCACTACCAATGTCCAAGCAAGGGCAGTGGGGAGCTCTGATCTGACCTCTCCCTGTTTCATTTTAATGACTGGACAGGGCTCAGTGAGGGCTGTGCTCACTATTGTAGGACGTGGTGGTCAGCATTTGTTTCCCCCTTCTTTGGAAAACCAAGCAAACGCATGCTGCTTTTTGCTGCTGTCAGACCAACTAAGATGAATCAGGAACACAGAAGATGCCCCAGGCTCGTACGCCTGGATGTTCTCCTACAGACTTCTGGCGAACTTCCGCTAGGAATTAGTTTGAGGGCAGCGAGCACATAATGTGATATAATATATGCCCTAGCCTAAGAGCATCAAGTAAAAGAAATAGAAAGTTTCTTTTACCTTTTGCTTTCCTAATAACACCACAATCCCCCTCAGACCTTCTGAATGAATACAGAGGAAATGATCTTTGTCTATACCCTCCCTGAAAAGAAAAAAACAAAAGAGTTCATACTCTGATTTTCCAACATCTGAGAAACTGAGTTTTATTTCATAGCTCTAAGGCAGCCTTACCATTTGTCAGTAAATTACTGAAAACTGTATGGGTTTAGTAGTAGCACCCAAAAACCAAGCCTTTAACCTCAACAATGTGTGTGTGTTACGCACTGCAAAAACTGCAAGGCTGAAACTAGTTATCTGAACACCTCAGCTGCTGTAAGCTCCTCCTCGCTCACCCTTTAAAACTTGATAAGCATGATGGAAAAAAAGCACATCAGAGTCTCTGCCTTTTTAAAATTAACTTGACTTTGCAAGGCAGGCAGTTTTACAGCCACTTCTGTTCCCATATTTCACCCCAGGATTTGGGGGTTAACTAGACATTTCTACCTCGACCAAGTCACAGGTACCATGGGCTCCTGGATAACTCCTGCAGGGCTGGTGTAAAAGAGATTATAGCTATGGTTTGTAATATCTTGACTGTCTGTCTCTAAGGCCAATATCGATAATATTATCTACCCAGGGAGTTTAAAAGAAAACTAGGATTCCAAAGAAAGAGTAAGCAAGAATGGAGCAATGCTCATACCGAATTTGGGAGTCAAATATTTTCCCTACTCTCTGTCCCAACCCTTCAGGAATCTTCCCTTAAGTTTAGTAATTTTATACAGAAGAAACTGCCTTCGAAACAAAGGTGTCTATGGTTTATTTATTTATCCTTCTTTAACATGGAAGTCCCATGTCTGAAAACCAAAGTTAAATTTCTGCCTGGCCTTTTGTCTCATCCCTCTTGGCAAAGCAGCTTTTGAAACAATAGAAAATGCTGAGTAACAGGAAAGTATTAATGTGCTTGACACCCATGACTGAAATGCCATGATCTTGTTTGTCAATAAAAAGCACCTGTCTGTGAACCAGGTAATTATTTTGTGTTTTGGAAGGAGATCTGTTTATGAGGAGAGTCATCATAAATTAACCCTGTACAGAACACAGGAGCTAGGTGGACAGAGACTATTCTTATGCAGGACATTTCTTCCCGTTAACCAGTACCTGAAGGGTTTGACATTTTTTTTTCTTTAACTTCATACAGGAGTACTATGCAATTGGAAATTATACCTTTCTCGAGAGATTTGGTATCAGTTTCCCACTGTCTTGCTCAACAAATATCAACACAAAGTAAACTTGAATACGCTTAGGAATTTCACAAAGTGCTCTTTGCCAACATTAGACATATCATGTCAAATTCTTAAGGTCTCTCCTCTGTTGGTAAAATAGGCAAAACCTTACAAGGGGAACACTATAATACAAAGAAATACATTGAGTTAGATTTCCAGTCACCTGCTCTATGGCTCTGAGATCCACTATATCCATACGGTTCCTAGGACTGTGTCCATCGGACGGTTCAGAGTACAGAAATAAGCCAGCCACTATGGCTTAGCAGTCATCTCCCACGGAAGACAATACTGGCTTTTTGAATGCTGGGACTCACGGACTTGCTGACGTGGCTTTCTGATGTGCCAGGATCTCCTGGCAGCTCCTGTATACTTCAATCAAGCAGTCCAGCCGGGGCTTGGAACTCTGAATTACAAAGGGGAGAAATGCAGAGTCAAGGTGAACACAGACGAGTGCTTAGTGGTGCTGCACCCACATACAGCCTCGATCTCTCACCCACATCAAGTGGTCTCAATGGCAAAGGTGTGAGCTCAGAGACGTAGAAGTTCAGGCCTCAGAGCACCTTGCTGGGCAGAGTCCCAGTTAGGCCCACAGCCCAGCCTGTGAATTGTGTAAGGCAGGAGATCAAAAGACAGCTTTTTAATCTGTCTAAATGTCATGACCTCCATCTGTAAGAACAAGCAAGAAGAAAGGCAAGGATGGACCCTCTTGAGAAATGCCACAAGTTGTGAAATAGTCCTCAGAGACAAGAAGGCAGTTTAGTATGTAAATATTGAAAAATATTTTGTACAATTAAATGTAACACAACCAAAATTAACAGCAAAGCCACAGAATGGGAAAAACATATTTGGAAAGTCTATTTAATAAACATTTGCTACCAAATATATAAATAAT